TTCTTTAAAACCGCTCTGACAAGTTTGACGTGTTCTTCTTTTGTTTCGGTAAAGATAAGAATGTCGTCCAAGTAAACAAGGACCCCCTTAAACAGGTGCTCCCTTAGAACGTCATTGATTAATTGCATAAAGACTGCAGGGCCCCTTGTAATCCAAATGGCAAGACTTTGAATTGATAGCACCCCATGGGGCAGTTAAATGCAGTCTTCCATTCGTCCTCTTCCTTGATTCTCACTCGATAGTAAGCTTCCCTTAAGTCTAGTTTAGAAAAAAATTTTCCCTTTCGATAGGTGTGACAGCATGTCTTTCATGAGGGGCAGCGGGTATAGGTTGCTTTCACTGATTGTATTCAGGGCCCTATAATCCACGCATAAACGTAAAGAGCCATCCTTCTTCTCTCTAAAAAGGACCGGGGCAGCCACTTTAGGCTTGGCTGGCTCAATGAAACCTCTCTCAGGTTTTTTTTTATAAATCTTTCCAGTTCCTCCTTCTCCTTTGGGCTCATGGAGTATAATCTGGGCTTCGGGAGTTTTGCCCCAGGCTTGAATTCAATGGTACAGTCTGTGGGTCGGTGGGGGGGAAGCTCATTCGCCCTCTCCTCACTGAAGACTTCAGCAAGGTCCCTATATTCCTCTGGTATTTCTGTTAATCTTTTTTCCTCTCCTATGGATGCTTTTTCTATTCTTGATTCTGGTAGCCTCCCTTGGGGTTTTAAGTCCATAGGGTCCCCCTTCGGGAATTTGATTTCTGTCGTCCTCCAATTTACCCAGGGGTTCCATTTTTTCAACCATTCCATCCCTAGAATCATTGGGCATTCCATACCTGGGGTCACCACAAACGTTAAGTCCTCTTCATGGTTGCCCAGGGAGAGATGTATTGGCAAAGTGGCTAGGGTAGCTGGCACCCCCCCTGCTATGGATCCATCTAGCTGGCCAAATGAGATTGGTTGTTCCAGTCTCCTGGATGGGATGCCCAGATTCCCCACTAGTGTTGGGCTAATGAGGCAGCGGGTACAGCCAGAGTCTATTAAGGCTTTTACCTTCACAGCTTCGGGCATGGGGGGGATTAATATAGTCACTGTTTTGAAGATGGGTGTGATGCATCCACTTACCAGGGGTTCGCCCTCCGAGCTGTCATCTGAGGCATCCACCGGCCCTGTGGTGTAGGCTGGAGTCCTTTCCCCTTGGTGAGCAGAGGTGGGGGTTTCTGCAATTTCCATCATTCTCATGGCCGTTTCTTTTGGCTTAGCTGAATACTTTCCGGGTTTGTTGATTGGGGATCTGTCTGGGTTGTGCTGGGGGGCCTTTGAGCGGCATTCTACAGCTCGATGCCCTTCTCTTCCGCACTTTGCTTCTTGGCTGTATCTGATGATTTCACCGGTTGGTGTGTCAGCTCAGGCGGGGGGCGGCTCCATTGTTTTCCTCGGCGGTGCCTCTTCAATATGTCGATCTCTGCTTCCTCTGCCAAGACGTACCATTCCTCAAGTCGATGTGGGTCCCCTCGGGGCAGGCAAGCATCATATAGATCATAGTTTAGTCTGTCTTTGAAACTGCCAAGGAGGATGTCTTCTGGCCAATTCAGTTTGCTGGCAATGGTCCGGAATTCTTGTGTATACTCAGCCACTGGGCGTTTGCCCTGCCTCATCGTTGTTATTCTTTCACGGGCTTTGCGATCAGCCAGGGGGTCTTCAAATCGTCTTCTCAAAGAGGACATGAAACGGTTGAAGTTACTGAGTTCTGGGGCATTGGAGTCATGCAAGTTCACTACCCAATCCGCAGCTGGTCCATCCAGGGCAGATTGCACGATCCGGATGCGGGCTTTGTCGCTGGGAATATCCTGCCCATATTCCTCCATGTAGCTGAGGACTTGGGTTAGGAAAAACCCCAAGCGTGTTGGCTCCCCTTTAAATTTCACTTCCAACGGTGGACGTCTTGGAATGGATCGGTGCCTCTGTTGTGGGTGGTAGTGCCTTCCGTCCAGATTGCCATCTGTGGTCCGGTAGGGGGTGGGAGCTCCTGGATCAGTAGATGTCCCTGGGGTTGCAGGTTCCATGTCCCCCTCGGTGTCTCTCCCTTTGCGGCTCCAGGAACTGGGGCGGCCGTAGGGTTCAGTATTCTCCTCTCCTAGGGAGCTGAGAGTTCTTTTCATCAGGTCAATAGCTTTCTCTAGGATCCAGTCTGAGTACGGTGCCCAGCTTCCTCCCTCTTCACTTGCGTGCAGGGATTTCTCCATCTCCTGCTTCCATTCTGGTTGCTTGGTCCCCCGTCTCAGGGTCACCTTTCTTGATTCCTTTCCCCACTCACTTTTCTTTCCAACGCCCATCGACCAGCGAGGCTTGTGGTCCTGTGTCTCCACCACTTCTTCTCCTGAGGAATCTGGCCTCTCGGATCCCAACATCTGGCAAGGTTCCAACTGGGTCAGCGGCTCTCTTTCCAGGGAGTTTTCCCCCTCTCTTACTCCATTGTCTGACATGGTAAATTTTTGCAAAATCCCCCGGCAAGGGTCTTCCTTCCAGGTGGATTAATTTTGCAAGTCCTGTCTAATGTAAGGACCCACCCCACTTTGCATCTTAAGAAGACAGAACTCTTGGAATAATTCTTCCAACAGGAATCCTTTATTAAGAGAAAATGGTTGCAGGCATGCTAGACAGGACTTGGGGTCAAGCTCTCCCATTCAAGGTTTTAAGGGGTTCCCCAGTAGTCCCACCCAATCAACCCCCCTTCCAGTGATAGTTTCAAGTATCACAATTCCACTCCCTTTCTTCTTTCTTCCGTCTGGATGGAGACTTCAGATAACTACATGAAAGGCAATTACTCTCCTTTGGTATGCTAACACTTCGAGGTTACAATAAACACACATTCAGCATTTAGCTCTTTGAAGTGTAAAGAAGGAAGTGAGGGCCATAAAGCCCCTTTGTTCTCCCCCTTCTCTCCCTCTTATGGCAGAATCCAGAGAAGGCAGAATTGGGAGTTTCTATATTTGATAATTTAAAGATGAAATATAATTGGATTCTGACAATAATGGGGAGATTATATCAGGTCAGGGTCATTGACAGATGAACTTCTGGGGGGAGGGACAGAAGTGCATGAGTGTTAGTGCTGTCTCCAGATGACTGTTTGTTTGATTGATTTGGATTCTGAGGGGTTTAAATAATGGTTGATGGAATTCATCTGTTGATGGAATTACTTGTGGAGTGCCAGGCTTTGGTGAATTCACAAGCGTGGCAGGTGATAACATGGCCGATTTTAGTGTTGCTCCAATTGAACTGGTGTTGTTTGGTGTAGTGATTAGGGATCTTGGCGTTTGACTGCTAGCCAGTGTTCTTGGATCCTGGTTTTTAACTGATGTGATGTTTGTCCCATATAGAAGTGGTATATAAGTAGAACACTGACATAGACATCCACTAAATACCGATGAAGTTACCTAGCCTGGTAATGAAACGTTTGGAAACCAACCCTCAAGCTCAGAGAATGAACCTTCACCTTCATCCTACACCTGAGCTACAGATATTTGCCACTATTGCATATAGTAATACATTTAAAATTATTTAAAAAAAACCAAATACCTTGATTTGCAAAAACAGGACAGTCAAGCTTGCTAAATGTATAATTTATTCCTTCAGCCCAAAATACAGCATTACATTGAGGTGACCAACCATCCTCCTTTAGGGAGGACAGTCTTCCTTTTTTATGTTCTGTCCTCCCTCGAAAAGTGTCCTCCTACATGTCCTCCTTTTCGATATTTGAAGACTAATCTGCAGGACTTTTATTTCTCATAGAACATTCCGGCACCTTTTTTTGATGTTTTTTTTTCAACTTTTGCATGAGCTGTGCTACTCCCCCTATTGGCTTTCAAAAGCCAATAGGAATTGCTGCTGAGCGCGCCAAATTGCTCCTGAGTGCGACTGGCAAACTTTGCAAATGCAAGTTGTCTGCAGTGAAGGCAAATTGGCAGGAACTTTGCACCCATGCCTGCTATCCAACTACACCATCTTCTAGTTAGTCCCGAAGATATCTGGAGGAGACTGGGGCAGCGACACCACAGTAAGTTTCTCTTAATCTTCAGCCCTGCTAAGGGCAATAATGGCTGCGAGCACAAGAGGTAGGGGCAGTGGGGCTGCTGCAGGTGGAGGTGTGAGGGGCGGCAGTGGCCAGCTGCCCCATGCTGTGGGAGCCACGGAGCCCGGGACCGTGCAGGGTGGGCAGTAATGCTAGCAGAATGGCTGCAGGTGGGGTGTGTTGATGGCAGGCTGCTCCCTGGGGCCAGAACTGGCACAGCTGATGCTTTGGGAGCCACAGGGACCACTCTGCATTTATCATATTATAGTGTATTCTGTATTATTGTTGCAACGAATAAAATGTTTCTTTTATGTACGATTTTTTTTCTTCAATTTATTTGTGTCCTCCTTTTCACTGTAAAAAAGTTGGTCACCTTAGTTACACATGTGTGTGTATATCTATATATATCAATTATCATAAAATGTAACAATTGCTGCTAAAGAGAGCTGTTTGTTGATGTTAGCTAAATAAAGTCTCCATTTTTAGAAGTGGAGTTTATACTTCTGATAGTCAGCTTCTAAACTCATAATTGTCCAAATGTGCGCTACGGAGGGAAAATTAATAGAAGAGAATATAGCTCAGCTTGAATTGTGCAGACCTTGGAAACAACCAACATCAGAGAGCACGGAGGAAAGATTCATAGCTGAGGGGAGTAGGACAGACTCTTGATTCAGGCCCTTCAAGCCCTGAGAAGAACCACAGACAACGGAACTAACGAAGATCCTGGTTGTAAATCCAAACCTCGTCCGCTCTGCTTTAAAAGCACCCCATTAACCGCCGTCCGCCAGTTACTGAAAGACAATTGCGCACGCGCAGGTTGGCTCTTCCTACTTTTGCCGGGATAATTACCATGAGCTAGATGGAAAACCCTAACTGGATAACCAAGAGAGGGAACGGCATTACACAATTATGTTTTATTGTTCTAACGAAGGGTGGTGTCGTAATCAAACTAATAGGGAAATGGCAGCAAGCTGCGTTCTTTTTGCTCATAATTACATACACTTGGATTTGCTACTCACGTTAGTACGCAGAAGATTATAGATTTTTGGTAAACAGTAGATGTTCCCTAAGCTATCCCACCGTGTCGGACTTTGAGAAGAGCAGGAAAAGGGGGGCTAATAATGTGACTGGGAGGAACAAAGAGGTCTACCCTTCCACCCCAGTTTTGAAGCGGGAGCAGAAAATAAAGCCCGGTAACGGTGGTGCATTATTAACTAAAGATTACTATTGTCTTTTAAATCTAAGATACTGGTGATGCAATTGCAGAACATTTTTTTTCTTTCTGCCTCATTGCTGTGTTTTCGGAAGTAGTGATAACACCTACTACAAGTCAAACATTCTGTTTGGATCCGGCTTACGTCCCTCTAATTCTAAATCTACAATCGCTAGTGTGCATGTAAATTGCTGGGCCGTTTATTGTCAAGCTAATATCTTTGCTTCCTTTTACCTAAACCAAGAGGATATCGGCAGCATCGAGGAGAAAGGAAGGGGAAATCTGAGAAGGCCTTCATGCACAGAAACCTGGTAACATACGTGCATATATATTTGTGTTTATTTAGAAAAAAAAACATTTCAGACAAGCACTTTGAAATCCTCGTTCCTCTATTATCATTTGCCTTAGGCCATGCTTAGGGTGTTTCATAGATAGACGCAGATTTCTTTACTGTTCTCAACAATAAATCTCTCAGAAATCACAAAAAGTATCTAGGACTAAGCCTCAGTGAATAAAGTTGGGTACCATTGACTAAATGTGTCACTAAGGTATTTTATTGTAAGCAAGATTGGATAGTTTTCTGAAAAAGAAGATAAATAGAATACTTTATAATTCAGTTTTAATTAGTTGTGTTGAAAGAAGAATCTTCAGGTCCAGTCCAAGCAGGGAATAAGAAAATAGAGACTGCTATTACTAAGATTATTTGTTTACCTTAAATGTGCCTGTATTTGAGGTCATTATTCCAACAGCTAGGGACTACATGACAAACCTTGCTGTTTGAAGAATGAGAAAATGACAGTCCTCGCCCCAACGTATTTTTCACATGTTTCTCTGAACACTTCTTTTATCAAAGTTCTTGATCTGTTTTGCTGATGATATATTGATTGGAGTACAGTATTTAAACACAGTAATATGATTTATCTGTAAATCAGTTTATTTGTTTGCTCCTGTCAAACAAGTATTTATTTTGCTCAGACAGTTTCCTACTTCAACTAGAAAGGTTAGTTTGATTCAGAAATCTTTATTTTGAGCAGGAAGGAGATTTGCCTGTTGAAGATAACTCCACAAAAGATTAATTCTGTATTTGTAAGTTCTTCAGTATTTTTATTTACAGTTTTTATGTTGCTGAAATGTCAGAAAGAGTTGGAATATAAATACATTTAATTATAACTTGTTAGAATTTTTTTTTGAGGAGTTCAGGAAGAATCATAAACATTTATCTGAGAAAAATTTAATCCATAGTTTATATTATTGAAATTTGATTCTCCTAAATTTCAAGTGATACCAGGGATCCAGAAAAGGAGAATATGTTTGACTCAGCTGATGATTGAATATAAAACAAATATTCTGCAGAGCAACCATTGGACATTTACTCATGCTAATCTGTCTTCCATAATTGCGTCTTAACCCACGATGTAAATTTAAATTTCCAGGCTTTTATCTCAATTTTATACTCCTACATAATATTATTTATTTAAGTTTTCATGATGATATTAATCTCTTATAAAAGTGAGGTATATATTAATAAGGCAGAGTCTATATGCTCATCTCACTTTCTGTATTTTTCTGTCCCTAAATATTTGTCCAGGAGAATTTAAAGAACTTAATATATTTTGGGATAGCTTTGACTTATTGCTCAAAAGTCTTTTTCCTTTTCCTTTTATTGAAACAAAAATCAAATGAGGACAATGCATCATCAGTCCATTCCTGCAAATTTAATACACATTTCTCCTTCTAATATTGCATAATTTTTATCAACCACCATGCCTCAGTTCTTGATTCCTTGATAGATTCCAAATTCTATGAGTAGTAAAGCAAAACAAAAAAAATAGAGGAATCTTTAACACTCAGTGATGATTGTAAATAAATAAATATTAGCAGACTTACTGATTTCAGTCCACCTACGGCAATGAAGGGACAATGAAATCCATTTGAGTTAATGTTTCAATTTTTAAAATAATATTTCCAATAGAAAATATGAACGCAACCATCCTTTATTAAACAGATTCTAGGATCAGTGATTAAAAGTTATAGTGTTTCCAGTTCAAAGAGGAACAGAGTATTCTGGTTAAGCAAAGAACATGGAAAATAGTGTTCTATGTCTTGTCTGTATAGAACACATTGAGCCAATGTTCTGTGTCTATATCAGAAAAAACATGCTAACCCTAGAATAAATAGCTCTTGTAGTAAGTTTGAACCAAATGTCCCAATCAAATGAGATGACAATAAGATGTGATTTTGATTATAGTAAACTTCCCCACCCAGGTGTTAGAAGTAAAGTCTTCATCCTGGTTCATCCAAGCCGGGAATAAATAAGCAAACATGGCTCTGGCCAACCCCCATGCTGTCTAGGTTCTGCCAATTAAACAGATCCCTTCTGCGGCTAGGAAAGACCAGAAGCAGCACAATCCAATTGTGATTGGGAAAAAAAGAGTCTTCTCACTCACCCAAACAGAAATACACACATTTTCTTTGTTCCCCTGGGCTTTAAACTTAAAATTTAGAGGTACTCACCTTCATCTTCTTCCCAAAGCTCAAACTCTCAAAACTCCCTTTACTACCCTAGCTCCACATGGGCAAGGCCTGGGAGACCCATCCACAGACACAAGGGGGTCTGCTGCCGGCAAGATGGGGCTTACCAGTCTCAGTCCATTGGAGAGGTTAGCTTGGAGTCTCATCTCGGGGTGCCAAATTGTTAGAAGTAAAGTCTTCATCCTGGTTCATCCAAGCCGGGAATAAATAAGCAAACATGGCGACTGCTTTGGGAAGAAGGTTACAGTTTATTGCAGAAAGATGGTTCTTCAGGAAAGTGCAGAGGAGAGAGAGAGGAGAGGGAGAGGGGAGAGAAGGGGAGAGAAGGGCGAGATTGAGCACATGGGCAGTAGGTTTTATACCCCCCCTAGCCTTTTGTTTGGAAGTTTCCTGTTCCTGTGGCATGAACCTTGAGGCTGTTTCTGAGTGTTTGTCTAGGCCTTGATATCTGTGGTTTAATTCTATTATCATATCCTGCTTCCCAGGTGATGGGGCTGACTCCTAGAGTTTGGGTGGGATATGCAGATCTTCTCTTTTGTCTTCTTGATTGCTCTGGCTCCAACTTTCTGATGGTTTTACATTTGCATTTGTATGGGGCTAGCTCTTGCTTGGGGCAGAGAGATAGATTTAGGGCCAGGTTTGGTTTTAAAAAGTCCTTTTGAGGAAAAATATATTTTTCTGCCCTTTTAATATTTCTTCTCTGGGCTAACTTTCATCACAGGGATGGAAATGTAAAGAAGAATAATGATCACCTATTAATTTGCAATGTATAGATGGTAATGATGGGGCCTATGAAGGACCAGCAGTCTCCCTGCCGTTTATGGTTGGAGTCAAGCATTAGAAGATTGCATCTTCTACTGTGCTAAAAAAAAATGGTTAAAATCAAAACCATCATTCAGAGAATAGCAAATGCTATTTTGGATAGTTTTAGGCCAGGGGTAGGCAACCTTGGCTCTTTTATGACTCATGGACTCATGGCTCAGCTTAGAAACCTCTCCCTTTCCCCTCAGCATGGCTGGCTGAGGAATTCTGGGAGTTGAAGTCCACGAGTCATAAAACAGCCAAGGTTTTGGGCCCCTGTTTTGGGCCATCCTCTGTCTGTCTATCTTATCTTTTAGCCTGCTATTTATTCTTGTATACCTTTGTTATGACATCTTGCTATATTTTAAATAATGGAGTTTGTTGCTGCTTTAAAGCACTATTTGCCTTGTTCATATAGTCCTTGACCTACAATGGAAACCAATTTTTTTAATTGAAGTTATATTAATAATACAAAATTAAAAACACATTGGACATAGATGTGACGTCACTGGTTCCAAACATCTTCCATCACTTTACAGTAACATTAGTACTCATATAGACACATAGTTCTTCTTTTAAATATACATTTGTCTATAATCTATATTTTATTCTAACACTATATATTTGTCTTGGCTGCCCTCTTGTTATCTATCCAATCATAAAATTGTTCCCAGATTTTATAGTACTTAGTTTCACTTTTATCCTTGAGTTCCAATGTGAGTCTATCCATTTCTGCGCAATTGAGGATTTTCAATAATATTTCCTCTTCGGTTGGAATATCTTTCTCTTTCCACTTTTGAGTGAAGGCTATTCGTGCTGCCATTACTATATGCAGTAATAAATAATTTATATCTTTCTTGTATTTTCTTTCTATAATTCCCAGTGGGAAAAATTCCAGTTTGGCCTCTATATCTATTAGCAGGATTTCTTCCAGCCATTTCTTTAATAAATTCCAAAATTTTTGTGCCTGTGTGCATTTCCACCATATATGATAGTAATTCCCAATGGTCTTTCCACACTTTCAACATATCGGGGATTTCCCCTTATTCATTCCTGCTAATCTTATGGGAGGGAGGTGCCACCTGTAAAACATCTTATATAGGTTCTCCGTATAGGAGGTTGCCAAGGTAATTTTTCCTATAAACTTTGCCAATTATCCAAATCAATATTGTGCCCAAAATATTTGCTCCAAATTATCATCGTTTCTTTCACCTGTTCCTCAATATCTTGTTCTAATAGATATCGATATAATTTACTTATGGTCTTGCCTTCCCTACTAAATAAAATTTTATCTAATTCTGAAGATTCTTGCTTTATGCCCCGTTCCTTTTTGTCTTTATTAAATTTGGATTGAATGTGAAGATACGTCCACTATTCCAGTTCAATTCCTTCTTCCTTTAAAGTATTTCTCATTTTTAATTCTCCTTTCTCATTCAAAATGTCTTTATAGGTGGCAGCATCCCCTCGTTTCATCAAATTTGGATGTATGAACATTTCTAATGTAGATACCCAATTGGGAATTTTCATATAATTATTTCTTTTTATTTTTTCCAAATATCCAATAATGCTCTCCTAATATAATGCTTCTGGAAGTACTGCTGGGCTAAATGTCTTTCTTCCCATAAAATAGCGTGCCACCCTGTCTGTAGAGCATGACCTTCTAGTGCCAGTAATCTTGTGTTTTTGAGATGCATCCACTCACTTAGCCAAACCAACGCCACTGCCTGATAGTACTTTATCCAGTCTGGTAGGCCAAATCCTCCTCTTTCTCTAGCGTCTTGTAATAGTTTTAATCTAATTCTTGGTCGTTTCTCTTGCCATCTGAATTTTGAAATAAGTCTGTCCAAATTTGTAAAAAAATCCTTTTTGAGCTGAATTGGTATACATTGAAATAGAAACAACATTTTCGGAAGAACATTCATTTTAATAGTGGCTATCCTACCCATTAAAGATAACTGTAGTTTTCCTCATTTTTCCA